GACAGGGCCGTTGTAGGGTACGTGATATTGGTTTGGTTGACGATTAGTGTTTCATGCTGGCTCTTGCGTGGTTGTTGTAGTTGGGGAGCATAATGAAAATAAGTAATTGACACGAACCGGTTTTCGAAATATTATCCTTTTTCAAGTGTCGAGGAATGGTTATTAGCCTTCCGCCTTTAGGTCTCTCATCATCTCACCAAATCTGAAAGATAATGCAATTTCAGACATCAAATTCCAAATCTAGACCAAATTTTACCCAAAAATAGGCAGGCAAAAACCCCAAAAGGGAGAGAGAAAGAAAGAAGATTTCTAAAAATAGCCTGGACTACATTCCTATACATCATTTGCATAAAATGTTTTAGTGGAGTGAGTCCAAATGCGGCATTGGTCAATTGACACTTCGTCATTACTTCAGTGGCCGGCCAATTTTTGTGGCCGATGGATACACTAATTTTTTGGATTGATTGTAATTGTTGCAATTAAATCAAAAAACGAAAAATTTGTAATTCATTTCTTATTCAAATGAAACCTCTAAAAAGTCGTGTAATGAATAGAATCATTACATAGTTATCAACATTTCTTTAGCCAGTGACGGATATCCAATATGGATATTGAAAAATGGCCAATTTTTTCCAATGGTCTCCTTTGGAATTATGAATTCAATTGTTGGTGCCATTGAGGTCCTGGGATGCGAATCTAACATATTAAGGTGTACAATGGGGAGAAATGCTTTTTATTCCTATAATCGCTAAAATATGGCCAGTGACGAATATCCAATATGGCGGACTGACCAGTCTTCTCAAAGAAGAAGCCCCTACATGGCCAATTTTTGCACAGTCCACAGTAATTGGGGTGGAGCAGATTTTTGGATGGAATTGGCACAAACTCAATCACGTAGTGCCTTCAGACCTGTGAATATCGCCAAAATTCCAACATAATGATATTTTCATGCCTAACTCTGTCACTGGCCAGTCAATGACGAAGCCTCTACATGGCCAATTTTTGAAAAATGGCCAATTTTTGAATATGGTCTGCTATGGAATTGGTTGAAAGTGGGACTGAGTTTCAATACACCTGTAAGAATTGTATTGTACCATACGGAAACTATTAAAAAATCTTAACAACATTTGATCGATAATACACATTGACACAATACATCAATTCAACGATTAAGATTAATCTGTTATACACACCAATTAATTCAAATTATTAAATAAATTTATGGATATATTCAATATGAAGAGTACATAATATTTTACCAAGATGAGACCTGTTCAATATAAATACAGGTCAACTGAAATTGTTGAAAGTACCTTGCTGAACTAACAATATGCCAACAACTCTTCATATTATTTCCCTACAGGATATGCCGTTATACGACCAAAACACCCCTATCTTATCGGTCCCCGATCCAATCCCTTTACACCTATTTCGGCACTGAAATACAACAACATACTGTCAAAACATAAGATATTTGTCGTAAGTTGTTACATATTTTTTCCACTTTTTTGTCTTCTCAAATAAAGATTTACCGTTTTAGGTACTTTTTACCCTTTAAGTATTTTTTGTGCTTTTTAAGTACTTTTATTTTGCTTTGAAAGTACTTTCATCATATTTATTTATTTTTTGAGCTACTATAGACCATCACTTTAGATCTCATTGGCAATATCCCAGGCAAAATTACTTTCCCCAGCATTCGTATCTCTATAATCAACCCAACTATCGGCATAATCAACCCAACTATCGGCATAATCAACCCAACTATCGGCATAATCAACCAAACTATCGACAAAACCAGAATCAGAGAGGAAACACTAATCCGAACCGCCAGAACAACTACCGTCGTCCATACAACCCTGATAACCACCAAAGACAGGAGACCAATCCAGCAGTCAAGATATTATTCCAAATCTTACAATGTCTTCACCATGCTTCCGTCATTTCAAAGCAAGTCAGTGGTTCTCCCACACGTGGTTTTATCTCTAAAATTTCGGATCTCAATCGGTTTGTTAAACCAGCTTTAAAAAATTCTGCTATTTCCTCGGTTATCGAGACAGTAAATAATGTTTGGGCTAAAAATGTGGCGATAGCACTTAAGAATCATTATGATTCACAGCTGAAAAAATTTCCTTGATCAAAGCACGCAATATTTCGGAATCAAATTTAAAACAATTCACTTTCGAAGCAATAAATTGGGCTAATAAGTCATATCGCCGACTCCAAAAAGATACCCAATTGATCAATTTGATAAAATCATAGACTCTTTAAAAGACGTAGGTGTGGTGAAAGACATGGAAGCTGAATCTCAACCAGTTTCTACACCAAACAGACACCAGTTACCATTAATCGCAGATGTAAGACCTACGCCGAAACGCAAAAGAACTCCATCACCTTCTGGCCTTAGTACCTCGCAAGAACCACTATCCATAAGCAAGAAACCTCATACTGATAGACGTACTTTACCGTTACCAACTTTTACTGCGACTCCATCCACACCCATGACGACGCCAAGATCGAACCCTGAAACACCGAAACCTCAACGTACCAATACTCGCCGCCGCTTAAGTTTAACCACCTCACCCTCATCTCCAGCCTGTAAACCACGCCGTCATAATAATGAGAAGGACAAATCCAAATGGTCTATTCCCACACTCACCAAACCAACGGTTATCATTGGATCTTCCAACATCAGCAACATCCCGTTCCTACATCCAGATACCCAAGCCGAATCTTACCCTGGTGCCCGAATTCAGCATATCAATACCTTACTCTCCAAGATCTCTCCAACAACCATTCCGAAAAAGGTGTTATTTCATGTTGGCCTAAATAATAAACAGGAGTCAGGAGAATCCATACACAGAAGAATGCTGGAACTCCTCAAACTTGCCAAGTCGAAATTTCCGTCTGCTAACCTCTACGCAACACAGATTCCTTACTCAAAGGAGCTACAATTAGCTGAACCTCATTTAGTCAATAACCTCCAGAAGTTCAACAGTCTATTATATACATAAACCGTCTACCAATGCCCATACTATTCCTCGCTTCAATGGAGTGGTCAGTGTCATTTCGGATAACATCCACTGGATGTCCCCCACTGCGAAAATTATTTATTTTTCATGGGTCTCCTATTTAAACTGAACGCGGGGGAAATGCTCTAAAATTAGGAGAAACTGTGGTTAACCTCAGTTCGCGAAAACTTTCTCCCCTTGAAGAAAGAGTTTTATATAGAGGTCTAACATGTATTCCGACATCTAAAACTCTTTCCCATGAACCAATTTTATCGTCGGTTGAACACGTCAATAGGACTTTTAAGTTAAATTTCTTTTTTCGGAATAGACTCAGCAGAGGCAAGCGAATACCGTTCATTGAAAAGTCTGGTTGGACTCCACCAGACAGCGCGATTGACTCAGATATTTTGGCTACTTGCGATAAATTACGTGAAGAAATATTTCATTTATACGGAAGCGTATTAGGGCCATTCAATTTTTTTCTTTTTTAATTTTCAAGTTAGTAACTTGAATTTTCAAGTTAGTATGTTGAATTTTCAAGTTAGTAACTTGAATTTTCAAGTTAGTATCTTGAATTTTCAAGCTAGTATGTTGAATTTTCAAGTTAGTATGTTGAATTTTCAAGTTAGTATCTTGAATTTTTAAGTTAGTATGTAGAATTTAGTAACTTGAATTTTCAAGTTAGTATGTTGAATTTTCAAGTTAGTAACTTGAATTTTCAAGTTAGTAACTTGAATTTTCAAGCTAGTATCTTGAATTTTCAAGTTAGTATCTTGAATTTAGTAACTTGAATTTTCAAGTTTATATCTTGAATTTTCAAGTTAGTATCTCGAATTTTCAAGTTACTAACTTGAAAATTCAACATACTAACTTGAAAATTCAAAAAAAAAAAAAAAATGAATGGCCCTAATACGCTTCCGTACATTTACCTTTGGTAAACCAAGTTTGAAAGGAAAGCTTTGAATAGCCTAAAAAACGATCAGGACATTATAATACGAAAGAGTGACAAAGGCAGTTGCTGTGTCATTCAGAATCGCGAAGACTACATTTTTGAATTAGAGAAACAATTGAACAATGCTAATCATTACCGTGTACTTGATCAACCTATTTTCATGGAAACTGCGCAAAAAATAAACAATATTTTAAAAACTTTAGTAAACAAACAATTTATTTCTGATTCCCAATATAATTATCTTTCAACGAAACCCGAAGTCCGTCAACGTCACATTTATACTTTACCGAAGATTCACAAAAACCCGGAAACTGAATGGTCTTTAGCCAATAGGATTCCTAAAGGCAGGCCTATTATCTCAGATTGCGCAAGCGAATCCTACCGAGTTTCTGAATACATTGACCATTTTTTACTTCCATTAGCGTGTAAGCATCCGTCATATCTTAAGGATACCACCGATTTTGTTGAAAAAAATGAAAAGCTTGAATGTTCCTCCAAACGCAAGATTTATCTCATTAGATGTTACGAGAATGTATACCAATATTGATAATAAAACCGGTTTAGACGCTGTCCGAAAAGCCTTTCTTCGAAATCCCTGCGTAGATAGACCCGATAAAGAAATATTAGAACTTTTGGAATTATGTCTAAAGCGAAATGACTTTGTTTTTAATGAAAAAATTTATCTCCAGACTTCAGGCACCGCGATGGGCAAAAGATTTGCGCCGAGTTATGCAAATATCTTGGGAACTGGAAATTCTTCCATTTCTCCTTTTGAACCTTTCTTCTATGAAACGTTTCTTGATGATATTTTTATTATTTGTAGAAAGTTTTTGGCAATATTTTGAAATTTTAAATAATCACCACCCTTCTGTAAAACTAACGCGAATATTTCTGAACGAAGTATGGATTTTTTGGATATACTACGGTATTCAAAGGACCAAGTTTCTCTCAAACAAACAAATTAGACATCAAAGTATTTTTTACCAACCAACGGATACTCACCAACTTTTATATAAGAACTCTTTTCATCCAAAACATACTTTTACGGGAATAATCAAATCACAAATTTTGCGTTTTTTTAGAATTTGCACTCAAAAAGTAGATTTTGATGCAGCTTGTAGACTAGTTTTCAGTAAATTAAGAGAAAGGGGCTATTCCAAACGATTCTTGCGCAAAATTAAAAATGACACTGTTTTGGACCTTTTGAAGATTAATGAACCCCCTCCTCCAATACATAACTTTGGCGCAATACCATGTAGAGGTTCTCGGTGTCGCACCTGTGAACATATTCATATGTCTCATTATTTTCAAAATAAAAAAAACGGAAAAATATTTGAAATTAAAGAACGTCTCACGTGTACGGATAAAAATATCATTTACCTAATTTCGTGTAAAAAAAAATGTGACAAACAATACGTCGGCGAAACCCATCGCTTTGATATAATTCATAGCAAAAATAGACCAATTTCTCATCATTTTAATTTACCTGACCATTCCATTGAAGACCTTCTTATCATGCCTATTGAATCAATTCCTGACTCTGATCTTATCAAACCAAAAACCAAACGATTACAGAGAGAAAGCTACTGGATGGACCAACTCCAAACAGTGGCTCCAAATGGACTTAATATCCAGCATGATAATCAAATGATTCCATTTGTTGCCACCTTTAATCACACAGCTGCCAAAACCTCATCCATCGTCAAACAGTATTACAGTGAATTACAGAACAGATTTCCGAATGTATATACCAAACGACTTGTAATTGCTGATAAGCGCAATAAAAACCTTAGTAATTTTCTGGTCCGTGGTAGACTCGATCCCATTGAATCCAATAATACTTGACCCCCCTCTCTATTTTCTAGCTCATTAAGTATAATATATTCTAATCCTTATATATAGATGTTTATCTTTTCAGAACCTATTCATACTCTTTTCTTTTAGAACTGGTAACAAGAAAACTTTCATATTATAGACTTTTGTTTATTGTAGATTACTCGTGGGTGTTTTTTGAACTTAATACTAACTATGCTAACTTCACCTTATCTTGTATTGAACATTTATCTCTTTATTTGTGACCTTGGCCAGTGCTTTACATAGAAGTTTTTAAGAACTTCTTCACTCTTAACACCTATTGAATCTCTGGGGTCCTGAAGTACCCCAGGAGGTCAAATTTGAGTTTTTTACACATAATTTTCAAATTATCAATAAATGTTATATAACCATATCAAGTTAAGTTAGCTACTTTTGAAATCATGACCAATTGATCAATAATTGAATCAAAACAGATGCACTCTGCTCATCCTTGATCACAACCAGGCCCTTATGTAATATTCTAGATTATAGGTTTGGCTTGAAGACAGGATGATTTTCGCATATCAATATAACTATCATCTTGAATAATTGTTTTGGTTAACAAGGAGTCTTTATAAAATATTATTTACCACACCTGAGATTATATTTCATGTTCTTTTGTTGAAAATTCCCATTAAATAATAGGGGTTCCCAAATACCCCAGATTCTATCCAATGTTATTCAAACGACGTGCTAGCACAAGGGTTGTCCCTTCTATAATGACCTCAGATCATGGTTTTTTTACCACAATATTATTGTAAATATCCATCTTTAGATAAATTCGTCTCAATTATGACATCAAACTCCAGCTTGATTTTGAACTATATATCTAAATTCTTATTTTTTGCATTTAAAAGTAGAATCGAATATGTAGACCCTACGGAGCCCCTAAGGCGCAATTGTAAACATATTTATTTATTATTTCGTTTAAACGAATTAATTATTTTTAGCCATGTAGGGGCTTCGTCTTTGACTGGCCAGTCCACCATATTGGATATTCGTCACTGGCCATATTTGAGAAATTATAGGAATAAAGAGTATTTCTCCCCATTGTACACCTAAATATGTTAGATTGGCATCTCAGGACCTCACTGGCACCAAAACTTTCATTCATAATTCCATAGCAGACCATAGGAAAAAATTGGCCATATATCAAAAATTGGCCATGTAGGGGCTTCGTCATTGACTGGCCAGTGACAGAGTTAGGCATGAAAATACCATTATGTTGGAATTTTGGAGATATTCACAGGCCTGAAGGCACTATGTGATTGAGTTTGTGCCAATTCCATTCTAAAATCTGCCCCAACCCCATTACTGTAGACTGTGCTAAAATTGGCCATGTAGGGCCTTCGTCTTTGACTGGCCAGTCCACCATATTGGATATTCGTCACTGGCCACATTTGAGAAATTATAGGAATAAAGAGCATTTCTCTCCATTGTACACCTAAATATGTTAGATTGGCATCTCAGGACCTCACTGGCACCAAAAATGTCATTCATAATTCCATAGCAGACCGTAGGAAAAAATTGGCCATATATCAAAAATTGGCCATGTTAGGGGCTTCGTCATTGACTGGCCAGTGACAGATTTAGGCATGAAAATACCTTTATGTTGGAATTTTTGAGATATTCACAGGTCTGAAGGCACGCCATATTGGATATCCATCACTGGCCATATTGAGAAATTATAGGAATAAAGAGCATTTCTCCCCATTGTACACCTAAATATGTTAGATTGGCATCTCAGCTCCTCACTGGCACCAAAAATTTCATTCATATTTCTATCTGAAAGAATTGGCCATATTTTAAAATATTTTAAACAGTTAACCACGAAAATTCCATTATATTGAATTTTTTTTTATATTAACGTTCCTGATTGCACCATCTTTATCTGAAGAATGTACTATGAGCCTTTGAGAGATTCTATTGTATAGAAAATATCGTTTTTTGTCATAATATTGTAATTAAATTCTTTCCTTTGTACACAGCCACTGGCCGGCCATAAGAATTGGCCATTGGCCACAAAAATTGGCCAAAAAATTAGGGACGAAGCCCAAACTCATGAATCTTGATATAGATAAAGATCCACTACCAATAGAGCGCACACTTGGCGTTCAATGGTGTGTGGAGAATGATGTATTCCAATTCAGAATAAATATTCAAGACAAACCATTAATCAGACGAGGTATACTCTCTA